ATTGTTAGAGAAAATGCTAGATGTTAAAGATAAAGCACAGGGCCACTGTCGAGGAACAGTTTGGTCGGAATATAGGATATGTGCAGGGAGTAGGCAGTAAGCTGGAAATGCAGGCTGTGAGGGCTTCTGCTTTCAGAAGAGTGTGCCTCTGCAAGTTGTTTTGAGTTTAGTAATGGGGGCAATTATTGGAGATTCCAACTCCAAAGAACCCTTCTACCGCTTCTCATCCCTCTAACATCGTGGTTCAAGCCATTGCCATCTCAGCCGAATCCCTGTATCTGAACTGAATTTTCTGCCTTCACTCTCGCGCGCTGTATTCTACACACTACACAACCAGACAGATCCTTTGAAAACCCAGATTATCTCACACTTTCACTCAAAAATTCTGCTGTGAGACAACCTCTCACCTCGCACAGGAAAACCAAAGTCAACAGAATTTCTACCAAGACCCTCTAACTGTCCACATCCACTCTTCTGCTTGCTCACTCTAGCCTAGCCACAACAGACTTCCAGGCATTTGAATATTCCAGGCATGCTTCCTGCCTCTACCACAAATCCTCATTCTCTCCCCCTTCTTAAGATTCGATTTTGGGAACCAGCAGTTAGCGTAATGGCTATGTCGCTGGACTCCCACGTAGTCGACCGCAGTTCGTGTCCCGGACCCGGTGGCTTAAAACTCACACTAGGCGCGTGTGCGTGCGTGCCCAAGATCCTGAGAGGAGAATGGAGGAGAAGGGATTGCGGCGTGACCATCCCCCCTGGGGGGTGATTTCTCGCTTTCTGTTTCTATGTCTCTCTCTGTCTGTCTGGCGAGCGCACACGCCCTACAGTAAAAATCTCTCCCCCCGCAAAAAAAAAAAAAAGATTCTATTTTAAGCCTTCTCTAACCCCGTGCTAAATAAAACAGCAAGCCCCACCAACACCCCACCCTGGTTCAAAGTAAAACAAAAGCAAAAACACCAGCACCCCCTATCTCACAAACTATTTTTCTCCAAGATACTTAACATCACTTGGCACCTTACTGGTATTCGTCTGTCCTGAACATACACAAACATGTATGCATGTCACACAAACACACACACACACACACAATTTAAGCTCTAGGGGCATTTTTTTTTCTCTTAATTTGGTCATTTCAGTATCCCCAGAACTTAAGACAGGGCCTGACATATAGCAGGTACTCAATAAATATTTGTTGTCTAAATAAAAGGTAGCAGATACCATGGTGTTTGTATTTAGCTGAAATAGTTTATGGCATACTCTAAATATTTATGTAAATAGAACCTATAGCAAATTTATTCTAATTTACTACATAATTTTTGTTTAAGAACTATTTACTAATATGATGCTTGCAAATTAAACTTTGAGCATATAGACAACCCTTAACTTATTGGCAACTTATCTTTGCAAGGCTTCCTTTTAAATCAGTTAACTGGAATAGGAGTGGTAGTGAACTACAACAATAGAATAGTCTCAAATCTCTATTTTTCCCTCCTCTTTCCACTTCTCCCAAACCAATGCACAACAGTTCCCCATCTCCCATCTTCCTCCTCACTGGGCTGACCCCTTCTCTTTCTCAGGGATTAGGTCTAATCAACAGACCTATGAGCTCCTACCCACTACTAAGGCTGGAAATATCCATAAAAACTAGGAGTGTGGTACAGGTTGTTGAGATGGTTGACAGCAATTAAGAGAACTCAGGCAAGGGAAGTTAATGCAGAAAAACCTGGAGAGGCCAGAAACTCTTAATTCAACTATATTAAGTTAGAAGCTCCTGTATTTTAAAAGAAAGTCAGCACAAAATAATAATAACTCCTTCCATGTCCTCTTTTTTTGTGGGACTGGCCAGTCATCATGCATCTAATAATGAGTAGAACCAGGATTTCAAAACTGGTCTTTCTGACATCAAAGACCACACTTTATCTCCCAGAATTCCCATGGTCCATGGTCTCCTCTTTGTGGATACACACACACACACACACACACACACACACACACACATGCCCGGTGTGAGTTTTAAGCCACTGGGTCCGGGACGCAAACCGAGGTCGACTATATGGGAGTCCAGCGACATAGCCATTATGCTAACTGCTGGTCCCCCGTCCTCTTTTTAAATACTACAATGCTGACAGAGTGATACTTTATATATGTTCTAAAGTCAAATGCTTGAACTTTTCATTATATTATGAAGGATTTATGCACACAATGCTTAGGGGAGAAAAGAAGATCAAGTACCTCCCACCCAGCTGTATTCATTCTTTATCTCTTACCAAATCTTCGTTTTTTTGCTTTTTTTTTGGGGGGGGGGGGGGAGGTTTTTTTTTTTTTTGGGGGGGGGAGAGGTTTTTGCTATAGAGCAGAGAAAGAGAGAGACAGAGAGATAGAAAGAGAAATCACCCCCCAGGGGGTATGGCCACACCGCGCAATTCCTTCCCCTCCATTCTCTTCTCACCATCTTGGGCACGGTCCCACACACACCTGGCGTGAGCTTAAGCTACCGGGTCCGGGACTCACATCACGGTTGACTACATGGGAGTCCAGCGACATAGCCATTACACGAACTGCCGGTCCCTTCTTCGATTTATTTTAAAGACAATAAATATATGTTTGAAAATTCACAGACCCCTCCTAGATCCTTCATTACTTGCTACTTCTCCTGAGGCATATCATCAATATATCCTGGCTCTTTCATTTAACAGTTGCTTGATCTTAGGCTAGTTACTTAATATCTCTGTGCCTCAGTTTCTCTGAAAATACTAACCGATACCCTACAAGGATGTTGTGAGAATGAGATGAGTTAATATACTGTACATAAAGCATTTAGAAACCTATCTTGCTCATAGGAAGCAGTGCACATCAGTGTTAGGAATTCCATAAAGTTTGCAAAAAGACCTGTGATTATGTGTGTCTATACATGATTGGGAAAAGATTAATCACCAAAATGACAGGTAAAATTACATAATGCCAGGTACTTTCTAAATTGTGTAAAAACTGAAAATACTTATAAAAGTCAGGCTGAAATATTTACTAGCCTACTTAAAGAGGAATTGAAAGTGCTAAGAATAGAGAAACGCCTTTATTTTTTAATTCACAAATTGTAGATTACATTAGGACATAAACATTCAACTTAAATAATTGATGATGATTTAAAAATACCTAAATACTCAGTCTCCTTTTACAGGATTTGAGGGGAGTGTTGGAAGAGAAGGGGCAATCTCTCAATGACATACTATTCATTAGATTTCACACAAAATAAAACATTATCTGGCATTCAAATTTCCTACCTTTCTGAATTAGTTTTTTACTAACCATAAGCACGACAAATTAAAATTTATACTAATGTTTTATAAGAGGATTCACTAGGTTATATGACTATAATGACTACTGGATTCTGCAAAATGTATCAATGTCATTATGGATATCTTTCTTCTGGTATAGGATTATTTTTTTATAATGATCTCTAGGTCAGAAAGGTAGAAAAAACAGCAAAAAACTTAAATGCCCTTCATATTATGTGAATTCTAGTGAATTTCTTCCAAGACCTTTATAAAGACTTAAAAATGTATCTCTGCTTTGAAGATCAATCGATATGTCTAATTGGATACATGAGGCACAGAGAAAATACAAGATCTAATGAACACCTACTAGGTGCCGTTTACTGGACTAGACGTTTTTCGGGAGATTTTATAACCCACGTGAAAATATCTTAATAGACAAACTTTACAGGGCTTCCACAGAAACTTAGTTAAGTCAACTTGTGCAAGGTGTTAAGAGATAACTAGTACAATGAAAAAAGCCAACATTGAAGCCAATAAAGCACAGTAAACTATGGGTAAACTGATCATTTTAACAACACAATAGTTTTGAAACATTTGTTTCTCTTAGAGTTCACCGTATTTCTGTGGTAACAGGTTACCTGGTAAGGAGTTAACATAAAGCAACAATTCAATGTAGTTTCAAGGATAAACTGTTTTGTCCTCATCCCCACTCGACCCCTGCCCCCAGGAGGGAGGGACAAAAAAACCACACACACACATACAACCCTTGTAGTACAAAAACAGAGCTGATGGAAGGCAAGTTTTATACCTTAAGAAAAGTTCAAAAGTAAAGTTCTACCTCACTTCTCTTAAGGTAAGAACTTTGAAATGGAACCATTGCTTTTGTGTCCCCAGGCCCCACCGCAGTAAAATATTTGCCTGTATCCGTCTGCCCCAATAGAAGACTCGGTGGGAAACCAAGCTATAACTTGCATAAGCCAACAAGAAAACAAACTAGCTATTGCCACTACTTGTCTAACGAAGAAAGGACCCTTCCACTACGCACCCCATACTCCGTCCTCTGCCCAAGCAAGACGCAGCAGCTGCCAAGTCGGGCGCTTAAAGAATAATGGCCCAACTTTTCCAACGCGGTCTCGGGAAGAGACGCCGACTACTTCTTGAATGCAAGAAGACGGCAGAGAAGGTCCTCTCAGGAAGGGATGCATGAACTTTGGGGCACTCTCCTCTGCCTACTGGAGGATTCCAAATCCGCTTGCTTCGGAGACCCTAGGAAACTGCACTCTCCGGCCGCGGCTGACCTCGGGCCGCGGCAGAGCAGGCAGTGTTTACACCTGTCACGAGGGCGGGGGAGAGAGAAAGAGGAAGCCGGAGCAAAGCCCTAAACTTCTCAACAGCTCCCGGGAGGGAGCGGCCGGCGCAGAGCTGCGGGCAGGTGGAACCAAAGGCGGGGCGAGCCGCCGGCGGCCCGGGAGCGAACGCCTCGCACTTCCCAGGCCGATGCCCGGTATGGCGAGGGGGCCGGGAGCTTCGGGAGCCGAAACAACGTTCCCGGACTGCCGCGGAAGAGAGCAGATCCAGAGCCTGAAGCCCGCAGGCCCGCAGCACCCAGCTGGCGGCAGGCAGATGCTCCCGGCCAGGGCGGGGGTCCGGCTGGTGGGCCTGGCCGTGTCCCCTCACCCTCGCTCGCCCGCGCGGTTGGGGGAGCGGAGCAGCGGTGCTTACCTGGCTCGTCCGGGGCGGCCGCGATGGGCATGGCTCAGGGGCCCGGGGAGGAACTGGCTCCCCGGGGAAGGACTGGCTATTTCGACACCGATCTGGTCAGAGCGGAAGGCAGGCTGCTCCCAGCCCTGTCAGCGCAGCAGCGCCATGGGCACCCACCCGGAGTTTACGGGCTATTTCGAGACCCATCTGGTTAGATCGGAAGGCAGGCTGCTCCCAGCCCTGTCAGCGCAGCAGCGCCATGGGCACCCACCCGGAGTTTCAGCGCTGCCGCGGGACCCCCATCCCGCTACCCTCCGCCCTCTTCCGCCGCCGCCTCCACCTCCTCCGCGGAGACCCCCCGCCCACTCCACACACTCTCCCATCATGCACCGGGGGAACCGCTGCCGCCGAACGTCACTTCCGGGCGCAGGTGGCTAGGTCGGGGCCGGGCGCTGGTGGGTGCTGGGGCGTGGGGGAGGACACTCCAGGGGAATTAGTGTCACAGAACGCTTACTCCTGCGCAGGCGCTGTTGCGCAAAGCGCCGGCCGCCATTTTGGATGAGGGCAAGCTGCCCTTTGCTTTCACTTCCTTGCGAGTCGTCAAACTGCCAGGGTTCAGACCCCCGCCCGCACTCCGGCGTCAGCTGAGGTAGCGCTCCCGGAGAGGACAGGTGTTCTCTCCAGCAGCTAGCGTTACCGTTCAGCTCAGGACCAGGTTCAGTCTTTGGCTCTCCAAATAAAATCGCGAACGTTTGGAAATACAGAACCAAGTCTTCGCCAAAAACCTACTAGAGAACATTCATTCATTGGCTTGTCCTTTTTGCCCGATAAACGACTTCTTTCACTGATGGTTCAAGTCTCTTCCTCTTTTTTATTTAAGTCAACAGAGGAGGAAGCTGATATTTGACAAATAACAAAGAAGTGGCTGTTATTAAGTCAAATTTTAGACTGACAAATCGTCTCTGAGACCAACAAAAATATGAACTAGAATTTTGCTAAGGGATGAAGGTGGACGTTTTCCATAGATCCTTCAGTAGGCTATTTCATGAAACCGAAGAAATCAAATCAACTTGCACATTTAAATGTCTTTCTTTAACAGGGGTCATAATAGATTCTATATCAGTCCTTAGCAATGGATCATTTGCGTTTTTGTAACATTTTCCCCTCCTTTATAATGAATATCTGTTAGAACACTGGCCACTGTTCAACAACAAAAAGAACAAATAAGAATACAAGGCTATAGGATTATTATTACTACCTTCAGGGACGATGAACCTAGGGTGCTACCCTGCAAATCTCAAGCACTGATGGGTCTTCACTTTGCTTACATTTGCCAAATCCCAAACCTCAGCATTGGTAATTTGACTAATTCAAAATAGTTCCAATACAGCGAAGCTCAGCAGCTATGCAAAGAAACAGAATGGAAAACACCCCTCAGCCACCAGGAAGTGTCCACCCCTTTGAGTGGAAGAATTATACAGATCAGGGGAAAGATAAAGACAATAGCAGTTTATCACAGTGTGTCCTGTCTCTGCAGTGTTGTAGACAAATTAACTTGGAGAACAGCCCCGCATTTGTCTCTTTGCAACTTGATCCCTATAAGATACATGGAGACGCACCACTTTAAATTGGAGTAACAACTGCTTTTGGGGGATGCTGGAGTTTTTGTTATTGCTAAGTCACTAAAGTAAGAAAAATCTATATGGCTTGTCAAATTTATTCCTATTGTATTTCGCCCCCTGCTGGTTTAGCTCGAGTGCAAACTTGTATCTATGTATATATAAATACATTTGTCACTATAAATGTTTACTAACTGGGAAGGAAAAAAAGAAAAAAGGAAGAAAGAAGCAAAAACATTTGTGCGTGTATGCATGTAGAAACTGGAAGTGAACTGTTTTCAGTAAACAGCTCTACTAAACAAATATCAGAATAAGATACAAGATTTTAAAACACTCACACTAAGAAAATGTTTAAGCTAAAATAATGAGTTTAAATATCAAAACATTAAAAAGAAAACCCTGATTTTAGGAAAATAGCTTTCTGATTTAATATATAACATATGATTATAAAATAGCAATTTCTTTTTTCGTTTTTTGGAGAGGTTTTTGCTATAGGGCGCATGCACTCGCCAGACAGACAGAGACAGAGAGACAGAAAGCAGGAAATCACCCCCCCCAGGGGGGATGGCCACGCCGCAATCCCTTCTCCTCCATTCTCCTCTCGGGATCTTGGGCACACACGCACACGCGCCCGGCGTGAATTTAAGCCACCGGGTCCAGGACTTGAACTGCAGTCGACTACGTGGGAGTCCAGTGACATAGCCATTCCGCTAACCGCTGGTCCCTAAAATAGCAATTTTTGTCAGGTGAATGTAGAAGCCAGTACTATTTACTTAAGGACCATTCAAAAATCAGCTTCCACCTTTGTTCAGGAAGTTGGGTAGCTATTTGGCCAACTGACTCCTAAGTGCAATCAATGAACCTGTAATTGGTGATTTTACATGTAATTATTTATTTGTTTAATAATTATTTTATTTAACTTTATCTATTTACTTTTAATTTGACCAGAGAAGGATAGAGTGAAAGTGAAAGCAAGAGAGAGAAAGTGAGAAAGCAAGCTGCCAGGTCTAGGACTCAAACCATGGTTGGCCATGTGGTAGTCCAGCACCCTTAACCACCATGAACCTTCTGGCCCTGATTTTACATGTAATCCTGAAGACAATTTCTAACGTTTATTACATCGTATTACAAGAGGACAGTTGGTGAATTTTTTAAGGTGATAAATCTATGGGAAATACATTTATTAAAATGTATTACAGTTAGATCCAATTATAGGGTGGTTTTTACAGCCATAATGTAGTTTGGGCATCAAGAAAAGGAAAAAATAAATGATCGGTTATCATTTGTTGTATTTACTTTTAGTTTTATCTCCTGTATATAAGGTTGTATGCATTCTTTTATTTCCCTAATGTAACGCTGTAATGCTATAAACATTTCCTGGATTTGATAATCCTTTTTTTAAAAAAAGTTTATTTGGGGCTAGCAGAGGGCATAATGGTTACATTGCTGTACTCCCACATAGTCGACCAAAGTTCAAGTCCCAGGTCCAGTGGCTTAAAACACGCTGGTCACATGTGCATGCCTGCCTAAGATCCTAAGAGGAGAGTGGAGAAGGGATTGTTGCATTGTAGCCATTCCCCCAGGGGGTGATTTTTGCTTTCTGTCTCTGTCTCTGTACAAGTACACATGCCCTATAGCAAAAATCTCTCAAAAAAAAAGTTTATTCATGATAGAGAGAACATATATGCACATGTAAGAGGAAATGCTCTCAACAGGGTCCTGCCATGCTGCAGTCTCCCTCACCCTTCCCTCCAGCCTGGCAGTATCTTGGGCACATACTCAGTCATTCCAACCAGGGTTGGCTTCCAGCACTGCAGATCAGTACACTACCACCTGTGCCACTGAGGCTGAGCCCATTTAACTATTTTATTTTATTAGTTTGTTAAAGGGCATGTGAGCTCACTGGAGAGAGAGAGAGAGAGAGAGAGAGAGAGAGAGAGAGAAAACACCTCCTTTGGTGTGTGCAACCCCTTCTCCATTCTCCTCTGGGGATATTCTGGGCATGCGTGCACAAGCACCCAGCATGTTTCCCAACTGCTGGGTCCAGGACTTGAACCATTCAGTTGGCCATGTGGGATCTAGCTGCCCTAGTCACCATGCTACCAGCTGGCCCCAACATCTTAACTTTAATTGCTTATGTAGTAGTCAGTGGAGTGGACATACAATGCTTTATCTATCACCTTATTAATGGATATTTTTCACTGTTAGAAATAATACTTGGTGAACATTTTGTTCATATGTTCAATGTTAAGAGGTTTTTCTCAATATAAAAAATACTGAGCAATAAACCATGAATGTTTTATTGGCACATAATCATTTCACACTATTTTCCGAAAGTCTATCCCAATTTACAATGCCACCAGTAAGAAAGAAGTGTACTAATTTCACTTTTTGCCACTTCCCTACTAGCAATAAATAATTATTTAAAGGAATAAAAGATGTACTAGATGAAGAGTTAAAAAAAAATTTAATTGACATTGTATTATATAATTTATTGGCAAACAAGCAAAACCCCCAGCAATGTGGTATTCTGAAAGGCAATAAACAGAGTTGGGCCTGTGATCAGGCTCCATTAGCACTATGATTTTGTGAAAATTATTAACTTCGAGTGAGGAAGAAGACCTAGACTACAGCTTCTCAGTCTTAAAATAAGTACATATATCACTTGAAAATATGAGCATAACTAGCTCATATAGCATAACTGTAGCTCACTTACTATAGAAAATGCTCATATAGACACGTTTCTTAGACTTCCTAAAGTTTACTGATGGAAGAGGGTCTGTGAACCACAGATGCTACTCACTGGAGGCTGCTCCCCACAGGAGCTAATGTTTCTTCAAGACTTCACTTCCCAGTCCTTTCTGCAGCCAGGCCTAGGATGCTGGCATTCTGACAGCTGTGCCTACCGTTAGAAAAAGAAGTGGCTTGGTATATGCATAGACAACTAGCTTTAAAGTGGGATAAACTCAGGTCTGAACTCAACAACATCACAGAACCTTGCTAAGGTTGCTAAGAACTCCCCTCTGGGCTGACAGGTGTTGTGGTAGTTAAGGGCACTAGACTCCCACATGAGGGCCCACTGTAGCTCGAGTCCCGGACCTAGCAGCTTGCTTCTCACTTTCCCTCTCTCTTGCTCTTACTCTGTCCCTCAAATTAAAATAAATAAATAAATAAAAAAATTAAACAAAGTGATTTTAAAAAAAAAAAAATCCCCTCAACTGAAAAAAGCAAGCTAGGTCCCCGACCCCACAGAGCTGCTACCCAGACAAGTTGAACCAATGCACATATAATATTCCAGCACAGAGCCTGGTTTTAGTCCCTTAAATGAAAACCTGGCTGTTACTCAATTGACCCTCCCCCAGACTGTCGATTCTCTACTGGGAGGGATTTTGATTTGACCTCTACCCCCACCCTGTGACCTATGCAGTTTTGTTTGTCACAATTAAGGTGGAGGTGCACTGGTATCTACTAGGTGGAGGCTAGGGATGCTTGTAAACACCCTGCAGGACAACCCCTACAGCAAAGAATGGTGTCAGCCCATAGTCAGGAGTGCTGAGT